ATCCAAAGTTTGTTTATGCATTGTGTAAAAAAATATTTCCTTTTATCTGTCCTGATTCTTCCAGGATTCAATTTCATTAGGTGACCTCTGGTTCTAGGATTTTGGGAAGGGGAAAATAGCTTCCCCTTGTCCACTGTATCCATACCATGAATCTCCTCTCATTCATCTCCTTTCCAGACTCAAAAGCCCCAAATGTCACAACCTTTCCTCTAGGAAGCTGCTCCAGCCCCTGATAAAAAGCTAAAACCACAGCCACGGGCAGTTCCCACACCAATCCAGGAGAGAGTTTCGAGCTCAAGGACAAGCTCAAACAGCCACCGCACTGGCCATTTTCTAAAGCCTGGACTGGGGCCCAGATCAAAACTTGCTACTGGTGCATCGACCACCGTTTTCCCACCAGCTTTGGGGTCTCAAGGGAGGCTCAGATTCTCGCTCCAGGCAGGCTGCAACCAGTGCATTAGTCAAACTGGCGGATGGTGCCCAGCGCCAGCCAGGCTGCAGCGAGGCTGCCGGCCGAAGAGTCGCCTCTGGGACCCCCACGCTAAGCGACGGTAGTTCTCGTCTGAGCCTCCTTTCCCAAAGCCGCAGCTGGCTCGTTGGGCCCCAACTCGCCGCAGGCCCGCTCCGAGCCTCCCTGGCGCTCTCGCCAAGCCCCGCGGAAGGCGCACCCCGTTGCCTTCGGGCGGCTCCCTGCTCGCCAAGGCCCTCCCTGGCCCGCTGCGTCTGCTCCACCTGCTCGTGCAGGGGCTCGGCTGGAAGAGCCTGTGGCCGCCCGCGGGAGGGAGAGGGCGCCGTCCGCTGCCGCCTCCCTCTGTCTCCAGGGGGCGTCCCACGCCCACCAGTCGGGTTCCCCGGCTCGCTCCCTGCAAAGCCGGAGGGGACGGAAAGCCGAGCGCTGCCTTCGCCGGGAACACCTTCAACGCTGCCCGGGGGGCGAGGCGGCGCCCGGGTCCTGCAGGGCCGACGAGCGCCCCGCTCCTCGGGTTTTTCCTCCAGGCCGCAGCCCTGGACGTCGGAAGGGCCGGGCGAGCTGGTGGAGAAACCCCGCGAGGTCTCCTTCCCCCTGGAACTGGCAGTCCGATGCCTCCCTCCCTCCCTCCTTCTCGCTCTCTCGGCCCGGGGGAGTCCTCCCAGGGAGCTCTCTCCGCCCTCTCCGTCCGGGCGCTGAGCTTCCCTCCCATCCGCGGACTGGGCTCGCCCGGCACCCTTCCCCCGACGTGCTAAGCCAGGATCGTTTGGAAGATGGTTTGGTTTTGGCTTGCAGAGCCCAGCTTCGCCATGCGGTGCCAGTGCAGGAAATGAGACCCTGCGGTGGGCAGTCAGGCATTCTGCTGCCCCGACCCCCAGCCCGCCCCTCCTGCTGAACTCACG